GCGTTAGTCGATATAGACCAGTTGAAAACTTGAACGTGGGATGCTGTAGGGGTGGGGTCTACCTATTCGTGGACTGAATAAATGTTGCGGTGCTGAAACCCCTTTTGTAAATTCTCTTGTTAGGATTGTTAATAAATTGAAGGACTTGAGGGGGTAGTTAATCGAAGTCGACCGTATTAGAGGAATGATAATGAGGAAAAAGAGAAAAAAAAGGTATTAAATTACACAATGCCCAATAACGTGCACAACGAGAAAATTGACTGTCAATAAGCATCTACAGTAAAGGTTGTATAAGGTATTGTCTTTTTTTATCTTTCATAATGTAAATCTTCAAAGTCAAGTGATTGCAGATTTTCGAAATTTCTGATATTCTTTCATACATACTATTTATATATTTTCTTTGTTATAAAAGATCATCGTATAAATTGTAACATGACGTTACAGAGCTGGAGGGGATACCACGTAGGATTTACTAAAAAATAAATAAATAGGATTTATCAAATCGGACAATGGGTTCGGTGGCACAATGGTAAGTGCCCGACTTGGTAGTCTGAAGGTGTCGGGTTCGATTCCCGATCGGAACTCCTAATTTTTCGGAAATTCCTAGCCCTCTAGCGCTCCCTGGCGGCCCTGTGGATAAATTAATTATAGTGGGGCGAGCCGTGCACCCTGTTATAAAATATATAAAATTCATCCTTGAGATAATACCTCGGAACTCTCTAAGCTTGCCCTTTTGAAAGAATGCGTTCCCAACCCTTTGTCCGATCTGGCCGCAGCTTTTAAGCTCTCCCGCTTCAGCCGGTTACTATGGCGAAACATGGACGGTTAAGAAAAACATAAACAGGGAGGAAAAAGACGAGAGCGCGTGGGAGGGACTTAGCGATCCTTGGCCGTCAGCGTCGGCGTCGAGTCGACTGGGTTAAAAATGACAAAATAATACTCGAGGAGAATTTTCTGTAAAAACGATGTGGAAAGGCACGAAAACGGGTGTGGGGTTGGTGGGTGGAGAAAAAAGCTTACCGCGTTACCGATAAAAAACTGGCCGACGTCCTGGAGATCGACAGGTCGGCTTTAATGGTGATTAGGGGCTTCTGCTCTATTTGACACCGTTGAAATTGCGATCAGCCGTCTTCAAAATGTCCTACTCTGTGAATCCTATCGTCACTCGCTTCTTTTCGAGCAAAAGAAATTTCCCGATCGTAAAGAAGAAATCAGACGATGTCAACGACCAGTGTGAAAAGCTTTCTGAATAAGCGACGAAGGGAGAGGGTTCGTTTACGGAAATAATTCTGAACAAAAATATTGTATTCCACTCGATATTTTTTAGGCCTTTTGATAAAATCATAATTTTCGGCTAATTATTATTTCGTCGTATCTAACCATAGCTTAGTTATTCATGTGGTACAAACGAAAAAAGGTAATGTAATTTTACGCAAAAAGTATATTTCATTTTTGCTCGTTATTATATCTGCTATGGATTTTGCAAAGAGACCAAAATAATTTTAATACGATACCCATAATAATATTGAAATTTAATTACACGTGTCTCCGTTATCGGGACATAATAATTAATATCGCAATAAATGCGTAATAATTGATCATTATTTATAATAGTTAGGTATGATTATACGGATCATACTGATTTTATACTATAATAATAATAAATTATTGCATTTAATGTATAATAAAAATGATTATCCCCTAGTCGTACATCGTATCGAGTATAAATATTTTTCAAAGAAGGGAACCAATAATTTTTACGTAAACTGTCGATGATTATTATGCAAATATAATATGGGAAGAAATATACGTATAACGTTATTGAACGAGCGAAACGCCACGGTCTAGTGAAGTTTCAATGAAATCTATTTGCGGTATTAAATATTAAATTTACAACAAAAAACGTATTGAAGGCAAATATTATCCACTATGCAGTATCGTAATTTTTTTCACATCCACCGATAATTCGATTCCCCATCCATCATCCGCATTCATTATTTTTCACTCCATGATACTCTCTAACCAGTTGGTTCAATTACTCGACTTTTACTTTATTCATTGTACTCCTATATAGATTCTATAAAAACTTTCATCTACAAAAAACATTTTTATTACCCGTACAAAATTTCACTAATTTATCAGACACAGTGAACTGTGAGACAAGAAAAGAGAACTGTGAGAACAAAGTTGATGAAAAAATTATTTTAAAAATAAGAAACTTCAAAATTTGTAAATCCTTCGAAAGAATTATAACGAAAGATATTTTTAATATCCGCATAAACGAATAATATTGAATGACGAATTTCTATGATATTTGCGAATTTACGTGAAATTGGTAATTTTTTGTCAATCTCGTATAAAACAAAAAAAGGGTATTAGAAGGCCTTCGCTTTTTCGAAACATCGAATATATGGAAGCCGGAAAGCCGGTCTCGAAATAAAATAAACTATGGTCATAAATTTCACCCTAATCCCTTACGCTCCCTTAGAATAATACAGAGGGGGATTAGCTAGCGAAGAAACAGGATGAAAGGGCTAACCTTCGGGAAACCAAAAAAATGGTAAGTTTCTTTTATGCAGGAAACAATCTTTCTGCGAGATTTGCCAAAGTCTGACATTAATATCCCAAACATTTCTGCACTGCGAATATCGGCAGGCATTTTCATCACTCTTGAAAATCCAACGTATTTATTGTGGTTTATGGAATACTGAGCCTTCAAAAGAATTTTTATATGCTACTCTCTATATCTATATAGAGTTAAGAGAGGCTATAATACAAATTCTATAAAAATATTCTATTACATGCTATACATATTTGCACAAGACAAGGGCTGGCCTCTTATATGGTTAATCAATGTATAAAACTGTATAGTAAAACGTTTCCAACATTATTTGATGCTCTTATAATTATTTAAACTAAATTTAATATATATATATATATATATGTATATATACATGGCAAAACATTATATGGATGAATAATGAAAGTGTATATTAGATCATATGGCATTTATCTATTGAGCATATCCATTCTCGATTCTCAATATCTATTATTGAAAATTGCAATTTCCTTTAGCGATAGCATGGCAATGCAATTATATTGATGAATCCCGTAAGGTTTCAAGATTGCACCAATGATAATAAATATCTTAAAGAATAAAACAGCTTCCATTTCTTAGATACGTACGAGAGTCATTAACTCAATAAGATCCATATAGAATATATCTAAGGAGAGTCTACCATTCGTATAAAGATATTTTTTACACGAGCAATGAGATGTCGGATGATCAAAATACGACCATAAATAAAGATAATATGAAAAAAAAAAATGGAAAAAAGTGAAAAAAATATCCTTATAAAAAGAATTTCAATATATCATCATCAAGAGAGATTTGAGAAGCTATTACATCCTCAAAATTGAATCATGACCGAGTATATTGAAATCTCCAAAAAATGTTGACAAGCTTAAAAGAATATATTGATAAAAACAATCCGAGAGTCTTAGAAAAAAAAAATTAAGAATAACACAGACTGATAATCTTCCTTCAAATTTCAAAATTGAGTAAGTATCTTCGTCCACCAAGTATTAACACTTGCAAAGTGAGAGTCACCCGCATACAAAATGTTAAACACTAAACGATAAGCCCATACCAACAAACTCTTCTTCTCTTATCAAAACCAATGTTCGATATCTGATATAAGTAGTAATATAAAGCAAACAAAAAACGTGTCTTGTATCAACCACATTAAGCCAGTTCCGTATTATTCAACGCTCTGGAATAGAAATTCCTATAGTTTTTGAAGCACGAGAAAGCCTCTTTGGCAAGACGAGCCACTCGCAGCGCCACTTCAACTGACTGCAACTTTTCTATAGGGCTAGACACACGGTCAACACGTTCTTTGTCTCGACAAGGGTCTCTCCTGGCTTTAGCCAACCGCCGCTCTCACTTGAAGTCTAACGATGCCAATGAAGGATGGAAAACCATCCACTTCGTCATCGCAGTGCGTCAGATTTTGTTTTCTTTAACTGGCAAAACCGAACGCAGAATAAAGCACAGAAGAAAAAAGGGCAGCCGCTGATATCGACGAATATTCAGAAAACAAACGTAATCCAAGCCCACACGTTAATTCTTTGAAATTCGCTGGAGGGCTTACGATCTATATAAACTTTTAAAACGAAATGTTCCGCATGCTACTGTTACTGCGCGGAACACCCGGTTATATAATATCGACCGAGGAGGCAGGCAGCTATTCGCAAAATCCCACGCGAGATTTAGCTAACACGGTGTTCTTCCTAGTTGGAGATGTTTTTGTGATTTTATCAGTATATACTTTTCATGTATACCTATACGTATTATATATAAATTGTATCTATCAAATTATTCAGCCCAGACGAAAAAAACTAAACATAGTTTTACTATAAGAATCGAATAGGTACGCTGACTTCAAGTGGTTCGCTTTTACTGAACAACCCGGTATATACATATGCGTACAAAAATGCACCTTGAACATCATACGCGCATAGTCGCACCCGTGCAAAATATTTTTCTGGATATTAGCCAGTTCGCGGAACATGATAAACAACGAAAACTGTTTTCCTCGTTTCAGAAAAATATCTTATATAACTCTGAATACAATTTATATTTACAAACCTACTATAAAAAGTACGAATATAATCATAGTATTTTCATAAATATTTTTTTTACCTTACCTATTTCTATGTTTCATTGCCCTCGTAGTTGTTTCCTTTGTAAATTTATCAGTGACAACGTTTTTACCTATAGCAAAAAAAGTATTTAACTACTAAAACTCGAATGTTACCTAATTATCATTTTCCTTCAACTTCTGAACTATCGAACCTTGAGTACCGGTATAAAGTGGGATTTGAATCTTACGACGTTCCCTTCGGCACGAATCACCCTTCGAGTGGTCGTACGTCGCGTTTCCATGGAAACTCGTGTCGAAGTAACAAGAGTGCAAGGATTGTCCTTTCTGTTTTAGGTACCAGCGAGAGTGGCAGAAAGCATCCAGTCCTTTTATTCGTCCACGGCGAGAGCTACGACTATGGCAGTGGCAATCCCTACGACGGAAGTGTCCTAGCAAGCTACACCGACCAAGTTGTGGTCACGATGAATTACCGACTGGGTGTACTCGGCTTTCTCAATGCCAATATGGCGCCCCACTTAAAGGCGAGGGTCGCCAATTACGGTCTCATGGACCAGATCGCGGTCCTGCAATGGGTGCAACAGAACATTGGACTTTTTGGCGGTGATCCCGGCAACGTTACTTTAATGGGACAAGGAACTGGCGCTGCCTGCGTTAACTTTCTCGCCATTAGTCCCACGGTCAGGTCTGGTGAGTGTAACGAAACCATATAGACATGCAGACTGTACCTACTTTGCTTCTCACGTACCGTCGTTTTACCTTCAAGTAGATGCAACGAGTTACAGTCTACACTCCGTACCCGTTAACTCCATTATGCCAAAAGGAAATGCCATTAATGCGAAAAGGAACGCGAACCGAGTATAGTATACGTAATTGGGGGAAAAAAAATTTATTATAATTTATTTATACCGTAAGGATACTTGCGATAGAAAGGACTCCTTGTTGTAACGATGCCGGAACAGTTATAACGAGATCCTTAAAGGATTTCAAGTAGACACGTTTCTGATCGCAATTCCATGATGCAATTCTTCCTCCTATCCTTTCAAGGTAGACGTATATCCTTTGGTAAGAGATGTAACCGTATCAGCTACAGCTGTATACCGGCTGTACTGGCGAAATCCGTATAGAAGTGCAATATGGCAATAACGAGGGAAAGCTGTAGCAATGGTGTAGCAAGGAGCCATTTCGTACATTATATAGATATATTACATCCGAAAGCTAAGGAGTATCGATTTGAGATTTTTAGCCAGGGGCGTAGCTACTCCGTGGATATATTTGAGACGAACTATGTTCGGCTCGTGGCTTACTGGTTCGTGCCTTCATGTGGTAACACATTGCTGCAGATATTGGCTGTCGCCCCTTATATCTTCATCCCCCTTCAAACCCATCGCCGTTAACGGCTGCAGGTTAACCGCTTCGCGATCACGTTACCGTATAGGGCTTGCGTGGGAAGCTAGTTGAGACTTTCTATGATATTATGTGCGTGAAATATGGCAGGTTTTCTAACTGCAACGAACCTTCGGCCATTTGTCTGCGGTTCTTATCACGACGGCCATATTTGCAATTATTCTTGAAAATTCTTTTTGAATAATAATTTTGACATGGAATAAATATGCGTCGGTATTGGTACATTTTTTGTATTATTCAAAGACTGGACCAGTGCCAATGGAACGAGACTCGTCTGTAGTTTGACCTCTTGTTTTTTTTGTTTTTACGTCTTTGAAATAAATTTTTTTTTGTTAATATTATCTACCTTTTAGGAAAGTTCGTTGAATGTAGAGATAATTGGTGTATGTTTTTTAAGTTCGTCTTTATCGCTATTGGATGGACCAGAGTCATAATTTTAAGAGGATCCATAAAATTGTTGTACGGTTTCAGGGTTTTTTTTCGGGTTTATATCGCCATCTTGTCATTAAAGAATCTTATCGTGTATTCTCATAAATCTTTATTATTGAAACTTTTTATAGACATTTGAAAATATAAGTAGAAGAGAATTTGGAATTAGACGCGAATGTAAGTTTTGTTTGGAATTTTTGAAAATGTCTATTTTTCTATATTTTTATCCCAATTTTATTTGTCTCGTACAATGTATTCGACGCACGTGGGTTTATATGCCCAAATCCAGATAAAGGGATCCGAAATCTGTCCACTTTATCGAGGACTAGGAAAAAGTCTATTGTGACAGATTGCGAAGGTCAGTTTTACGAACCGTTAAAAGTCGGAAACGGCTATAAGAGTCGCCCTCAAGTTCCTAGTCAGCATGGTTCTCAACAATGCTGGCTACAACTTCTCGCGTAAAACTTTTTAGGACGGGAAAACATAGAATCCTTCGCAGGGGTTGACTCCACAGTAGGATATCAGGATAGTCCCCTTGTTTAAGGTCGACCCAACCGTGTCCCATTTTCTTGATTGTTTGTGAGACATCCTGTAGTGATCGTGAATACAGAATGAAATGCGTGTTTGATTGGCTTGAGAAAATGGAATATTTTAGGAACATAATAAAAAAAAGGTTTCTTTTTTTTATGAACACGCATGTGTATATGGCTCGTATCCATATATTCGGCAAAAAACGTGATTTCCAAATTTTTCCAATAAAACTATGGACACGAAAAAGCAAATCATAATTTTGTATCGCATTTAAGTAAAAATACATATATATATAAATAAGTCCTTTTCACCAAATTCAAACGATACACTCCCTTCAGAATGCAATGTATCGAAATACCACGCTGGAATTCTCCAGGGAACAGCCAAAGCGCGAAATTCAAACGTACTTGAACCTCAGCATTAGACGTATCGCTGCAAATCTCATAGGGACAAAAAGACGTATTTCCCATGAAAAAATTAAAATTAAACCAGACGATCCAAGACATTTCATATTTGAGATACTGCGTATCCAGGAACCGTTTTACGAGCCAGATAATTTCCTTCTTTTCTATCATATTTATCCAAACCTTATATGCTTCACCGTGTAGCCTGGTCGTTTCTTTGGACATAAAAAAATACTTCCACCCCTTCAACCTCAAGTCGTACAAGCGATCTCTTTTTTTATCATGGCGAAACTTCCTTTCCGAGGTCACCGGATATAAACCGATCTCTATTTATTCCAAAAACGATAGGTTCTCCAAGTTATTACCTTCCAGATTAATGGCGACTATTACCCGGTTCGTGGTTTCAGCGGTTTACGCTCTTTCATGCTCGCTGAGAAATTCACAGAGAAAGTAAGAGCGTCGATTTTAGGAATGACTGTACTATACATACATACCTACCACGGATATATTTCAGAAAGTGGTTGATGGCTTTAAAGATGTCGCTGCTTTCGATTCCTCCAGGACTCTTCAAGAGGGCCATCCTCCTCTCGGGAAGTGCACTCTCATCCTGGGCCGTCGTAGATGATCCTGGCACTTACGCGTTAAAACTCGCCCGCGCCACCAACTGCTCCATTCCCGAGGATCTCTTCAAGGATCACGAGCTGATCGTCGATTGCCTCAGAGATGCTAACTTGAACGATCTACTTCAGGTTGATATTCAAGCCCCGACCTTCCTCAGCGCCTTTGGTCCCAGTGTGGACGGAGTCGTCATAAATCCGGACTTTCAGAAGGACCTGCTATCCTACCTGGGTCCTGAGTTTCAAGGATTCGGGTAAGACACGTGTACATCGGAAATATATTATCTTTAAATTCATCCATGGGATCGTTCGTAGCGAAGCTTTTGTTAAATTTACGATATTTAATAATTTTGGATTTTTAGATTATTTAAAAAATTAAGCTTATCAATCGCACTGATTTTTCTGCATTTTCCTGTCTATCAGTCGTACCATTCGTTTTACTTTGATTCAGTTAATTTGGAATCTCACGATGTTCTGGCACTTAGCAAAGTTTCAAATTACCGTGGTATTATATTTGGCCTTGATTGGTTTGTTTATAGGCAACAGCTAAAGAGAACCGAACACGGGACTCCCATTACCAGCAACAACAAATACGATTTACTCTTCGGCGTCACCACGAGCGAGGCCCTTTGGAAGTTTGCTGAAAAAGACGTTCAGCAGGGATTCGAAGGAGACAGGAGAGACAGAATTATAAGGACCTACGTGAGAAATGCGTACACGTATCATCTGACGGAAATATTTTATACGGTAGGCATAGATAATTTATATTTATATACAGTATAGGTATGTATGCGTAAATGCAAGTAGAAGTTTGGTTATTTAAATCTTAATAAGAAACTATACATATAATTCGTATGAAATGGTAACGTTGATCATTTTACACATATAATTAGATAATAGATAATAATATTCATTTTGAACATCAGAGAAAAATCAAAATAGCAGTACAATCGAATAACTAATAGAAATTGTTGCAATTGTAAAATCATTACTTTTCAAGTACGCGAGAAATAAAATGAACAAATTTTATTTTCAAAAAACGTTTGCATACTCGAAATATGTCCCTTTTATAGTTAACAGTAAATGGTTTCGCGTACGGATTAACCCAAAGCGTATCGGGCATTGCAATTTTATTATTATACTGATTGATTTATACTGTGGTCCGCGGGATACTATAAATATACGTATATTCGTTATATCTTGAACAGCTATTAAACGTAGTGGGCTTTCATGTACGTGAATGTAAAAAAATGACAAATGATTAAAAAAAAATATTTTTGTTAATACATAATGAATCTTATGAAATCGATAGAGCAAATAACATGAAAAAAAAAAATCATATCAAATATCCCTTTGAAAGTTCACGGAAAGCATCACCATATTTCACGTGTTAATTAAAAATCTGATTTTCAACAGAATCCTATATAAAATATTTTTCTAGCAAGAACGTCAATCCAAAAAATTTTTTTGCACGTAGTTATACTAAATTTTCGAGAGAGATCAAAAGTGCTTACTTGCGTTTGTGATGGATTTAAAAATGTTTCGTTAGGTTAGGTTAGCTCAGAACTTCGATACTGTGATGTCCCAAGGTAGTAGTTTTAAAAAAAATATTAGCTTGCTATTGTGAACGCCCCTTCATTTTTCGTGTCCCCAAAGTATCTCTTTCATAAACGTATACAATATATATACAGACATATATATATATATATCTATAACGTTGAATTCATTACGTAAAAGCAGAACGATCCGGTTGATCTTTGCTCCTTTTCCACAAGGTCGTAAACGAGTACACGGATTGGGAGCGCACGGTTCAGCACCCAGTGAATACGAGGGACGCCTGCGTCCAGGCGCTCAGCGACGCCCAATTCGTGGCGCCTTTAGTGCAGACTGGCGACCTCTTTACCCTGAGGCACATGAAGAAACCAAACAACCCTCACGTAGCACCCATTTCTGAGGACGAGCGCGAACCCATGCCGAAAACCTACTTTTACGTCTTCGACTATCAAACCAAAGATGGCGACTATCCTCAGGTGAGTCAAACTATACGTAGATACAGTACATTCGCTATAACTTTTTAATCATAAAATCAAACACCCTACACTTAATAAATTTCATCGAATAATTCAATAAATGAGAGCTGGACGAAATTACATAGAATGCGAATATATTAAAATTATTATGGTCCACTGTCGGTCAGCAAAATATAATAAATTAATTATGAATTTACATACGGAAAAAAATGCACAGCGGATACTCCGTGTTGGATAATAATCACTGTATTGATAATGATAACATTTTTGATACTATCTTAAAATCATAGACACCATGTATATGGGATTTAAACATAAATATAGCAAGTATCGATTTAAAAACCAGCCGACAACAGTCGACGGATATAATAACGTAATCTCTACGTGATTATATACAATTTCTGCATAATTAAATGTAAACACAGAGATCATTGGGGTTAGAGTAACATAGGTGTTTCGCATTATATGGCTCGAGTATATATAATCCATGTATCTACATACATGAAATTTGGAGGTTTACTACGTATACAATGTACGTTATATATATATATATATATATATATATATATATATGTGCCAGGCAGTTACATAATTGCGACAGAATTTCACAGAGGACAATTTAAATCTAACCGGCTCTCTTCCACGTCATGCGTATACATCTCTGTCATATATGTCATATATGCGTCCACGTGGGATACGTGACACAGATATGACGTTATAGAATATCGCATTCGGTCTAACCGGAAGTCTCGTACCACCGGATGCAGGTTGAAAGTACCATTTATAGCATCGGATTAAAGTTGCGGCTGCGCTAGAAGTTTACGAGTCATCGGATTTGCAGCATCGCTTTCAATTTAATGTACCTGGGCATCAACAGATTGTCCATCCTAAGACTGCGTTTCAATTTCCCACAGGGTGATAAATCTCCTGGCCAATATAGCGGGTATGTCGTTGCCGGTGCATCGCGCAATTTGGGCCGATCGTAAAACGTGCAAAAACTTTCGCACCTTCGAATCGCGTGTTCGTTATATGGTCGTATAAGAAGTTTTGTAGGAAGGAAGCGACAGCAACAGGAGAGATTCTAGAGAAGAGGATGAAGTACGTAAATAATAAAGGGGTCAAAAATAAAGATATCGAGTGCTTATAAGTTCGGTAGAAGGCAGAGTCCTGTGATTTTAGTGTATACCTATATACATACATTTGTTTATTATGTGTGAATATATATGTATATATAGCCGTACACGACTATGTTTCTGCGAATAATTTAGTGCAAATTGGAAGTGGAATGGAGTTCTAATAGGTGGGTTGAATGGGCTAAAAATGCTAGTGAGTGTAAAAGTGTCAAGTGGCTATGCGATATGCATATATGTATGTATGTATGTATATATATATATATATACTGTATAAGCAGCGATACGACTGAAATTCTATTAGACACTATTCCTGCACACGCAATTCCTTGATCCTTGAAATTCTGCGAATAGAGGTCCCCCCTGCCTCCCTGCTTCTAGATTGCAAAATGCCGTCGACTTTGGCCCGCGCCGTTTGTGCGCTTCGCGGAATATTGGCTTTGCGCGGTTTAGCCGACGATCCCATTTACGTGGTCGGCTTCGCAAACAGCTGCCGGCACAGAAGAAGGTGCCTATATTTATATTTCGTTTTTCTCAGCGAAATCCTTCTGCTTTTCGATTCACGATTCGAAAATCCTTCGAGGTAACCACTTTGCGAAATCCCCGAGCACGCCTTATATGCCGCGTAGAATTTGTCATGGGAATATTTTTATTTGATCCTGCGAAATTTTTTCTGTTATCACCGCGACCCGTCATTGTCGTTATCACCGCGCCGAGCTTATCAATTTTCAAGAATGCTTCAGCGATTTGTTGACGTTCAACGTAGAAAACGCGAAATTCGATGGATTTCGGACGTGGATAGATTTCTGAAATTTTTGGGTCAGAGTTCAAAATATCAGTTTGACTTCCGGTGGATGCTGTAAGTACACGCGGTCGAAAATCATCTTTTGAGAATGACGATAACATTTTTATTTCACGCGAAAAACAAGATAATACTAAATTTTTTTTTTAAGAAAATAATGAAAATTACTGCAATTCCAATAGAGTAGTAGGAATCTATATATAATTATTCAATTTCAGGACCTTTGAGAATAGTGCATGTACATACGGTATCTAGGTACACGTACTTTCCCAAGGTATCATTTGATGTAATTCGAAAATGGGTCACGGATAATCGCGAAACAGAATCGATCACTAATTATTTCCAATCGCGTGATCAATCGACGATCATTATAATTAACCTCCCTAAATCCCATTTGCCAGGTCGTATTCTCCTCTCACAATCAGTAAGTACACGTCAAACGATCGACATTGATCCGCGGGCTGATCCGTGTGGTTGATAGGAAGGATTTAACTCCCGATTACCCAATTTATCATCCGACCATTCGACAAACAGTTCCTGCCGTTCAAACATTTCCGGTGGAAAAATCAAAGATCAAAGATATTAGCAAAATTGATAAGGGCATAAAATTATTTGATCGAACCTAGAATTTCGAGTGGATCGCAAGTAAAAGCTCAATAAACATCTTTACCTTGGTTCGATTAAACCTACATGCATTCGTGTATTTAATAATGCAGGCAATCATTTCGCAAAAAGGCATCCTGTGAAAACTGCTTGGATCGAGATTTGGTTAAATTGTTTGCCGTGAAAAAGAAAGCTGAAGAAAAAAGTCAATTTGTAGGTAAACATGCTCGACCGTTATTACACATATGGTGTACGTGATGCGACTAAGAAATTACGTTTGCAATACAAATGCTGGTACTTGCTTCTCGAGTTTCTACATTTATATATGTGCATACACAGAGGAATATATATATATGATTTCACCCTCCATCCATTACATATCTAGCTGTACTATATATATTATGTGCAAATATGTATATATCTATCGCAAATCGATTCTATAACTTTATATATTTGTTTTATGTATACATACTTATATATCTATATACATATGCATTCTAACGTGGCATTACAGAGCTGGAGTGGGCGTCTGTTAGGAACGACTGTAAACTCAGGCAGTAGCGTCTGTTAGGAACGACTGTAAAATAAGTGGAAAGGATTTATCAGGTCGGGTAGTAGATTCGATGGCACAATGGTAAGTGCCCGGTTTGGTAATCCGAAGGTTTCGGGTTCGATTCCCACTGAAGAACTTTTAATTTTTTGGATAGTCCTACTCCTCCAGCACGCTCTGACGACCCCGGATAAATTAATTGTAGCGAGTGAGATCGAGACACTCGTTATAGCATATAGCAATCCGTGTTTGCACGCTAAATACGCCCTCTACATATTTGTATATAATTATTACAGACGTAGAAGGAATCATGGCAATATAGAAAATAGATACGCAAAAATATTGTGTAAATAAAGAAAAACGCTTCCTGTGCAAAGAATATGGTTCTCATATTACGCATAGAGGTACGTAAGCACATAAGTTCGTATTGAAAGCTCGTGACATATATATTCTACGATATATGAAAAACTTTCAATATATGGATTTTACTTGTATACTATAAGCAGGGTATACGTATTACGGTTCCAATGCTGTAGAGTTGTAGATCGATTTCGTAACGACCTGTAGAGATTTAAAAAATTCAAAATTAGTTCCGCTACGTCCTGACTTATGGATTTGCGATGAAATTATACAAACGTACCCGGCGCTATTAGTTCGGCTTTTTCTTTTTACGAAATACGGAATGCACGTTACGTTAGGAAATCGTGGTTGGTAAAATGCGAAATATATATTTATGTATTGGCGATCGACGATTAAATTGATTTTGTGAAAGATTATCCGTAATGATTAATTATTTCCATTGTTAGAAAATTGTAGACCCATTGAAAAATGTGCAGATGCAGCTGCAATGCAATAATCACAATAATTATTGCATACGCGGCTATGCTAATAGCAATGCACGATAGGAGTGATTTGACGAGGTCATCGAAATATCGGAATTCACGATTGACGTTTAATTCCGTCGATCTATTGAAAAGTGGATAAAACGCCCGTTGAACAATTAAGGTCCTGTACACACTGGCCGATATAGTCATTCTTATAGCCACTATAGCCATGTTTGAGGAGTGTCCATTCGAAAGAATTTATTGGCCTTTTATTGCAGAATTATTGCACCACGTCGGTATTTATTGGAATTCAATGAAACGAACCTAGGCACACACTACAGGCCAATTCGCACAGCTTCGCGTTGAGCGATACGTATAGCGAGACTGGAGGAAATTCTGCTGCCGATTTTTTCTATTTATTCGATTTTATTCGCACTCCGCACATTCGCTTTGCTTTGTGAAAAATGGAATGGCCTTTTTTTGTAATTATTCAGACCACAGTTATTGTTCATAGAGAAACAAACCCCTAATATAGCCCCACGTAATTCTCACGCAGCGTACACTTTTGACTTAAAATTCAGAAACTAGAAATTTCATTACTCCGAATTAGAATAAAAAATTCCTAAGAATCCACTCCGACCTCGTATAAAGAGTGCAAAAAAGATTTTTCAAATACCTCGGTACCATACCGCAACAATTCGAAAATCACAAAGTTTCCTCAAACTTATTCAACGCGATCTCCCAACCAATCCGGAATATTGTCCTCGCTGTTTTTCAACAAAACTAACAGATTGCATCCTACTCTCTCAGAATTAATCGAGCGAAGAATCTATTCCAGATAGTATGTACCAAGCAAGTGTCAGTAATAAAGGAACGAAAATATCGGATCCCAGCACCGTTGAAGCTCCGAGTAACTTTAGTTAGGTTAGGTTGGACGCGTTCAGATAGGAAAATCCTATTGGACGACTGTCGTTACCATTCGAAATTCGCCGAGCGAAAGAACTTCCGAAATATCTCGATATCTTAGGCAGCGAGGAATTATCCCAGTGAGAAAAGTCACTTCGTGTAGTAAATTCATGAGGTTTAATATA